AAAGTTTCAAAGATAATAAATAGGAATTAATATATCTTATTTGAAACTTTATTATTGAGGCTTAGAGAAGCAAACATATGTTAATTCCTATTTATTATCTATTTATTAATTCCTATTTATTATCTTATATATTAATTCCTATTTATTATCTTTGAAACTTTATTATTGAGGCTTAGAGAAGCAAACATATGTCAGGCTACTATATCATTCTTATTTAATCATATATATATATATTTGGAGTATATGAAGTGAGAACTAAAAGATCTTTTTTGATGTAATTGACTATGGCAAGAACAGAGACAAAGAGTGGAAAAGACAAAAACCAAAATGAATTTTATTCAATCATACAACAGCCGATTATATTATGATCTTTATATAGAGTAATAGATACCAAGAACAATAATGCTGACAAAAGTTAGTTACAACAGATAGCAAGAGGGAATCAACTGTACAAGACCTTTGGTGATTTAATAATAATGATGACCATAATATCTGTCATTTAATAAATTGTTAAATCTTTGTAAAGATGATTCAATTTGAAAACCAACTATAAAGAATGATGATCATGTTCATTGAACTAGCATGAAATACTTGTTTTTGGAGGAGATCTAGACATGAACAAACGTAGAAGATGCGGTGCAAGATCAAGAACTTGAGATTACAGTCTAGTGTTTGTGTTTTAAAAGTGTACTGAGGACTTAAGAATGATGAAGACATCTGAAAAGAACCTTTTTTTGGTTCTAAAAATGATCTAAATTTATGCTCCTCTATTATTCTAAATGCATGTATGAGAAAAAATAAGAATATTTAGTTTATATTTTATAAATAATTTTATCTATATGTAGTTTATAATTTTGCTTGAAATTGGTTTGGTAGCATGATGAAAAGCCTAAGTTTTATTCAAATATTTTCATAATTTGTGGAACTCATTTTAAATCCTTAAAACCCATGCTAATTCTCTATTTATTAAACTTCATGAGGCAAATATATTATACTAAAAGAACTTAGGCTCACTTCATATTCCATTGATTTCATAAGTTATTTGCAGATGATTTCATACAAAATGGAGTTTATTATGATTTTCCCAAACATGATTTGCTTTACCCCAAAATTGAGCAGATCAGCGCACATTGGAAAACAATAAATCAACAAAATCAGATCAGAATCTCTTTATTTTGATATATTACTTCGAAAATTAATAAATCAACAATAGCCTAATACTCCTACTCCTAATGATTAAGCTAATAAAAACCTTAAGTTAGTAATATCTACCTTCAGCAGCGTATGAGCAGTAATATTCATCATTTCAATTGTTGTATATCTTTCATTTCTTCAAAATGCAGCACCCTCTAAACACAATCAATGGTGTTCTGCACCTTCTGCCTATCCTCTTCTACTCACACCATTTACAAAACTGTGTAACATGATTATACCTGCGGATCAGAAAATTTTAATGGATTCCCTTAGCCACTATTTCTTCCCCAATATCCCTCATCTCCACAAGAGCACCTCCCATCCTTGAACAGATGAAACCCCTCAGTATCCCTTACAGTAATATCCCTACGAACAAACTTTGATATCCACTTAACAATAAAATGACAGCTTCTACACATATACAGATTTTTCGTGACCTGAATGGGCGTACCAGGTGTGCTCGTAATGAGACCAAAAGCGACGGCCAATCTCTCACTGTGCCCACAAAAGATATCAGCTTTTGAAGCTTCGATATCATCTCTGAATCCAGCCTTCAGCACGTCAGGGCTATCTACCTCAATCCTACTGTAAAATCCAGTTAAAACTGCATTAATCTCCTTCATCTGTGGATGTGACTCATCGCCGCTTAAAAAAGCATGAACCGTTCCCTTTGCTTCCACCCAACTACATCCAGGATTCACCATCAACCCCCTCTCTCGCATCACCTTCCTGACTTTCGCCACCTTATCCCACATTCCGACATCCAAATAAAAGTTACACAACAGCATGTAATATCCAAGACTCGTACAATCTTGTTCGAATATAAACTTAGCTGAAAGTTCACCGAGCTCAAAATTCCGATGGATGCGGCATGCATTCAACAGGGCTCCCCAAATAGCTACATCTGGCTTGATAGGCATGTCTTGTATAAATTTGTGAGCTTCTTCCAAATGCCCGGCACGTCCAAGTAGATCCACAATGCAACTATAATGGCAAAGATTTGGAGTAACGCCATATTTGGCTCTCATGCAGCCAAAATAGTACAAACCGTGGCTCACCAAGCCGGATCTACTACAAGCACACAAAAGAGAGACAAATGTGACTTCATCAGGCTGGACTCCTTCCTCTTCCATCTTGCAAAATAGTGAAATTGCAAGATCTCCATGCCCTCTCCCCAAATACCCACTCAACATTATATTCCACGAGCCAACGTCTTTTGTTTCATGTAATTTAAATTGTGTCAGAGCATATTCAGTCTTTCCACACTTGACATAAAGGTCTAAAATGGCATTTGGCAAAAAGCCCTGAAAATCCAATCCACTTCTAAGAGCATAAGCGTGGATCTCCTTCCCACACATCAGAGCTCCAATGGCAGCACAAGCAGAGAGAGCAACAGTAAGTGTAATGGAGTTGGGCTTTATGTTAACTTGCATTTGGCGAAAGAATGCCAGAGCTTCATGGTTCATATGGTTAATTCTGAACCCTGATATGATAGAACTCCAAGAAATCACATCCTTCTCTGGCATTAATTTGAATATTTCAACAGCTTTATCAATGCAGCTAGACTTGGAATACATATCAAGTAGAGTATTTCCAACAATGGTGTATGGCATTAGACCGTTTTTTTGTGCCAGCTCTTGCAGCTCGATGCCAACATCAACACGTCCCGAGGAAGAGCAGGAAGAAAGCACACTCGCAATGGTGATCTCATCGGGGGCTGCATTCTCTGCCTTCATCTGTTCAAACACATATAAAGCCATTTCTGGTGATCTGTTTTTCTCAAAACCAGAAATCATGGCAGTCCAAGAAACTACGTCTTTAGAAGCCATCCTCGAGAACAGCTTCTCGGCTTCCATCAATCTTCCGAAATTAGAATACATCTCAATCAATGAATTGTGGAGCGAGGTGTGGAGGCCAAAACCCTTCTTTATGGCAAATCCATGCATCTCCCTCCCCGCTTTCTCATCGAAGAGGAAGCCATAACCAGAAATCACGCTGGTCATTGTCATCAGATCTGGCTCCACAGACTGATCTCTCATCATCAAAAACAGACGTAAACCTTCCAAATGTTCACCATTCTCAACATACCCAGATATCATAGCGTTCCAAGAGATGCAATCCCTAAGAGGCATATCATCAAACACTCTCCGAGCATGGTAAAAATAACCGCACTTGGCATACATGGTTATTAAAGCATTTAGGACATCAACTTCTGAACAAAAGCCAAACCTAATCACATGAGCATGAATCTCCCTCCCTCTAACCAAATCTGGAACACCGCCGCAGGTCCTCAGGACACAGGGAAAGGTATATAAATCAGGTTTGACACCAGCCCATAACATTCTATAATACAAATTCAAAGCTTCGTCAAAGAAACCCGCCTTCGCATACCCGCCCACCATTATATTCCAAGAAAAAACATCTCTTTCAATCATTTTCCCGAAGACAGCCCAGGCAACAAGAAGCTCATGAACCCTAACGAACAAGCTCAACAGCGCATTTCCAAGCCGAAGGCTCAATCGAGTATTTGAAGATGAGATATGGGAGTAAACTTGGGAGCCTTCTGGAGCTGCTCTCCGCCATTCGCACAGCCGTAGGAGTGCGATGTAGGTTTCCTCTTCCAATGCGTCTTCTTCAGATGATTTCAGGAGTTGCAGAGCCTGCACGAGATCCCCGTTGAGGCAAAGACGGCTGATTTCAGGGTTGAGATCGGATGTAGGGCTTGAGGTCGTGTTTGGAGTGAGAGAGTGGAGCTCTTTGGCGTTTTTGAGAACGATGAGGGGATTGATTCGGTAGGCGTAGAGATTAAGGATTGTGGGTCGCTGAAATTTGAAGGGGAGAGTGAAGAAGCAGGCAGTTGGTAGGGGTTTAGATGGGGTTTTAGCGGCGACCGCCATACCAGCAGGAAAGAGAGAACATGGCTTCGCCGGGCCAAAAAAAATTATGGAAGATTTTCATAAATACCATGTAATTTCTATGTATTTACGTATCTAATATTTAAAATTTAATTTCTTTTATATTTACAACCCTTCATCCAAGCATTCAATTACTTTAGATTTATCTAAGTTTGAAAAGATATACTTAACTTTTTAATATGTTAATAAGAGATGTAATTTATTCATGTGATATAAAAAATTAAGTGTTATAAAATATATAGAAATATTTAGTTATTAGATATGTAATGCATAAGAATTATGTAGTATATAAGTCCCAAAAATTTGATGTGGTATTTTCAGAAATATTATCTATTTTTATATTGAACTCCTAAATTTAAAATTTTATGCTTATGTCACTCAAATTTTTCATAGCAAATCAAAAATAATATTATTTTAATTTTTAAGAAATGATTCATTTTTAATGCAATATAATATTATATATATATATATTGTATATATATATATATATATATTGTTTGGGTTAGTTGTGACTTATTAAAAAACGGTTGTGAATTTGATGAAAAATAATATGATCTTCAAAAATAATATGAAGATGGTTCTACCGGAAAGTAGGGGCAATTGATACGCCAATAACAAATCTTCATCATTCAGCATGAATCTCGATGTATTACACGGATCTCAAGACAATCTATCGAGCAAGAATTATTAAAATTTCTATTAATAGTCATTTGGAGCTCCAGTTTTAGTATACAAACTTATACTAAAACTACTAGTTCGACGAGATAGTCCCAATAATACTAAAATTGATAAATTCCAAGTCAAATCAAGCTTAGATCAAACCATTAAATCTTGTTTGGAAGTATTTCAGACACATTTGGAAGGTCAAACAAATGACGAATCTCAAGAGCTTATGGTCAAATCGAGTGTCTCGACAAGAAGAATTAAACGAGCCCAAGATCACCCAATTTGAACATCATTAAAGCACTCGCATATCCATCGAACATTGTATCATCGAGGGAGGGCATTTGAGACATCCGATCAAAGTGATTTATATTCTTGTAGTAAGTGTACATTGAATTTTATAAATAAAACCTCACCCCTCTCATGAGAGGGGAGGAGGAGAGCTTGAAGTTCAAGAAAAAGTTTGAAGCTTTGAGAATGAAATGAACTCCTGCATTGCTCATATCGGCGTTGACCGCCGTCTGTTGTTATTGATCATCATCGACTACAGTCGACCACAACCGGCTGTCATCGACCACCACCTGTCGACTATTGTCGATTTCAATCAGTCGCCACCCGCTTCTTGCAACATGTTCCTCTGCATGTCGACGTTGTAATTCGGTAGACTTTGTAACTATTTCTCACTTATGAAACAAAAAGGTCTTTGTAATCATCAACTTATATTGGTTGTTTTATAATTGAGTCAATTCCCGTGGTTTTTTCCTTCCTGAGTTTTCCATGTAAAAACATATGATGTCTCTACTCATTGTTCTTTCTCATCTGAGTGTGTGTTGAATCTTCGTGCAACTCTAAGATGATGATCTATCACTCTACCGCAGCGAATTTTCTTGCACGCATCACGTATGATTTATAGATGTCATTTTTTATGTTTGGCATGATTTGAGTTAAATTTTACTCTAATCCCTCTCAATCAGTCCCTAAGTTGTTAATGGAAACAAAGTATTTCAGTGGTGAGATTCGACGTTCGACGAACTTCTAAGAGAGGTTTTACGTAATATTAAAAATTTTTAGTGCTTTGTATATAAATCCCCTTAACATTGTCTTCCTTTCAATACTCCTAAGAATGTTCACTAAATTAAATTTTGAATGCATAAAAAAAAGGCATTTTAAGCCACAGTTAGATTATAGAAATAAGAATACTCGACAATATATAATTATTTTTGATGTCTCATTAGTTTCTCCTAATTAATATTTAATCCACAAAGTATCCAAATATGTTGTAATTAGTTTGATATTGTTCATTAATTTTATATATGAACTGTTTTTTTCTGTCTTGAAGAACAAAATGATTTATCCTTTTAAAGCAAGTAATTTTCTTAACATTATTCCATGATTAAAATGATTTTTTTTCTTGCAAGAAGTGAGTAAAACTTTTTTTTTATTATTTCAAAATTCTAGATTGACTTTTTTTTGCAAGTGTTATAACAATTTTTACAAAAAATTACACACACACACGCACATATTTTGTGCCGCGAGCCGTGGTCTGTTGGTAGAGCAACCTCTTTGAAGGTCGTAAGCCTCCTAAGGACACTAGTTCAAATCCCTCTCTAGCCAGTTTGCTGATAGTGAGGGCGGTCCTCGAATGCACATGAGGGTGGCTAGAAGGCTGCATTTGCCTCAAACACTCTTAATATATATATATATATATATATCATAGGACCAAAATGATTTGGATATTGTTAAAGAATTTACTTGATTAGGCACAACTCAAAATTATTGTTGAACTGGATTCTTGAAAAGTCAATGATATCAAAATAATTCAATCTAAGGTCAAATGAGCTCATGTCTAGCACTTGAAGTGCACTTGAAAACTTAGAGCATTATTACTAAATGATCTATATTTTTTACATTTTTATAATCAAATAAGTGGCTCAAAATAAAGAAATCCAAGGAGCTCAAATCATTTAATACTAAAGTCATTAACGTAGAAATAGAAAAATAATGATTTATGATTAAAAAAAAATCAATATACACCATCCAATAGATTGTATATAGATTTTGGTTAAAATCATCATAATATTACCTTTAAAATAGTATAAATAAGCCCCCACTTTTCATATGAAGATGATTGAAGCCCAAAAAAAAATCTTAAAATTTAAAAAATCTAACGTTCAATGTTGATGATCATTACTAGTAACTATCATTATTTTATTATCATCATTTGAACAACTTTACTCAATTATAATCATCAATTATAAATCACTAATCACCATCATCTATTTATCAAAACTCTTTGAAGCCCAAAAAAAAATCTTAAAATTTAAAAAATATAACGTTCAATGTTGATGATCATTGCTAGTAACTATCATTATTTTATTATCATGATTTGAACAACTTTACTCAATTATAATCCTCAGTTATAAATCACTAATCACCATCATCTATTTAAAATCTAAGATATCTAATGTTGTTATCGTGAATATTCTAACACTCACACACTAATGTAGTCATTTGTAAAGGCACAATTAGTAGATATTTTGATGTTAGCATAATGATAAAGTTTTGAAGCAAAATTAAACGAAGATAATAAAACAAATAAATTAAAGATCACAAACACAATATTAGTTATGCATTTTAATGAAATTCACTTACGTCCACAATCTTTTCAATGATTCAATATTCTCTAAGTTTCAAAATAGACGGGCAAATGAAAGTTTTCTTTTCATAAAAAATCAATGTTAAAATTTGAGATATTACTTTCTTAATTTCAATGATTAAAATAAAAGTTTCATAAAGGGTCTTTTTTAAAAATCATAAATGAAAGAGAGTATTATCTTATATATTTTAATGTTTTTATTTTATTGTTTCAACTCTTCTCGTATTGGTTTTTTCAATCAATCTTTATATGTTAATCCTCAAAGTCCCAAATATACATGTATAACACACGAGTTATAGACCGTGGCTTATTCGGAGTCAAGAAAAGAAACTATCATCAGGAGGAAGAGAGGAAGCATTCAACTCTTACATGAATGTGAAGTCTCATCCTATATATAGCCAAAAACTTTAATTAAAAATATTTAGATTTTGGCTAATACAATATGGAGAAATGTTGTGATTACATTTGAGCTTGAAGTCCTTCATATTAGATATAGGATTCTTATGTTGAAGAAATTTATTAGACATTTACAAGAGATTTTTGGATCCATATTGGATAAGACTTCACAATCAAGTAATAGTTGAATGCTTCCTCTTGACGATAGTCGCTCTTATTGACTCCAAAGAAGGAAATATCTAGGACTTCTATATCATATAAGCACATTTGGGACTTGAGGTTTAGCATGCTAGGAATGGTTGACACAACTAATACGAAATGAGTTGAAACAATAAAATAAAATGATAAAAAGAGAAAACAACTAGGACTAGATAGGGGGTTACTCTCTTGCATTTATGATTAAGAAAACAAGGCTCTTTATAAAACGTTTATTTCAATCATTGAAATTAAGAAAGTAATATCTCAAATTTTAACATTGATTTTTTATGAAAAGAAAACTTTCATTTGCCCGTCTATTTTGAAACTTAGAGAATATTGAATCATTGAAAAGATTGTGGACGTAAGTGAATTTCATTAAAATGCATAACTAATATTGTGTTTGTGATCTTTAATTTATTTGTTTTATTATCTTCGTTTAATTTTGCTTCAAAACTTTATCATTATGCTAACATCAAAATATCTACTAATTGTGCCTTTACAAATGACTACATTAGTGTGTGAGTGTTAGAATATTCACGATAACAACATTAGATATCTTAGATTTATTTGAAGACCTTGCTCATGCAAAAATAAAAAAATTTGTTTTATAATAGTTGCTAGAAGTTTCATGTAAAATAGCAAAAAAGAAAAAAAAGATCAAGTTTAGTTGAGATAAACTAATCCACTATTTTAATTAAGATAATAAAAATTTGTTTACCCTAAAATAATAAAAAATATATATGAGATTTTGATACACTAAGTATCTGTGTAATCTTTTAATCGTAGATGAGAACATTAAGATTGATAGTAATCAAATGATAATAATCAGAAATTGACAACATGTGACTACAATTGAGCAAAAATGCTCAAACGATAAAATAAGGTAATGATAGTTATTGGCAATCATCATCAACATTGAACGTTAGTCCTTTAGAATCCCAAGGTTTCTTTTTCTAGTGTCAATCATCTTCATATGAAAAATGGGGGAATGTTTATACTTTTAAGAGCAAAATTTTGATGATTTTAGCCAAAATCTAAATATAATTTCTTGGATGGTGTATATTAATTATTTTGATCATAAATCATTCTTTTTGTATTTATGTTTTAAGGACCTTAATGTTGAATGCCAAATTTATTTTTGTGTACAACCAGTGACTTCCAGATTTCTTAATTTTATTTTCAGCTCAACTCAAATTTAATTTTACCCTAACAACTCATTTCAACACATGAGGTGATGGTAGATAAATTTTGATTTTTTTAATCTTTAATGAATCAAAATAAACTAATTAACTTTGAAATGAAAATTTAAATTTAGAAGGAATAGAAACATTCACAATTAATTAGTTACAATCTCACTCTTTTAAATCAAAACTTAATCTTACCCATTAGTACAATTATAGATTGATATTTTGTGATTATTATAAATATAGACAATATTTTGTATTTGCTCCATTAAAATATTAGAAAAAATCACAAACATTTTTTTTTATCTTTGAGATATTCCCCTTTAAAATAAATTGTCTTAATTTATTAATAAAATCGACTATTCTATTCCCTGGATACACAATGTTTGTGCTTGCTAAATTTTATAAAATGGTGGTGAGACCTGCATTGATTTATGTCGCAGAATGTTGGTCTTTAAAAGAGAAGCCTAAGATAAAATCAAGTGTTGTTGAGATGAGAATGCTTAAGTGGATAAATGACTTGACAAATGTGAAACGAGTCTTTCTGTGATATGGATGAAAGAGTAGATGTTTTAAATTCTACTTATGTTAAGAATGGCAAAGACATACCTAAAAAGACTTAGGGACTGTTTAGGGCAGTTGTAACTCATTGAATAATCTGCTGATAAACTAGGTGCGGTGGCTATTACAAATTTTTATTTTTTTTTGGAAAAGTCAGACCATTGTCAATAAGCTCCCACCGAATCTAGATAGGTGGGGTGAGAAAACGGTGTTTTATGAGTTTTGAAAACGCTAAAACTGCCAAAACGCAGTTTATCTAAACACGTCAAGTGCGTTTTCAAAACGTCACCGCATCAAAGAAGCTGCCCCAAACAGGCCCTTAGACATAATTTTAAAAAACGAACATAAATTATTAAAATTAAATAAAAATTTGTAGCCAATATCCGTTGGTGGGATAAAGGTTTGTTTTGTTAAGGAATTTGGGTATCAACGTTTTCTTGAAAATAGGCACATCTATAAGCTAGTTTTCATTGGGTAGTGAAAAGAAAGGTTTCTCATTTGCGCACCGGAAAAGTAAAGGGAGAGGAAGAAACAGAGCCTCGGACCACCCGCGGCAAGGTGAAGATGATGTCCGGCGGTGGCTACACAACCATCGACAACCAGAAAGTCTCCGGATCTGTACCGGTATATATATATCCGCCCGCCCCCGCTTTCTATACCCCTTCTCTCTCCCTCTGTGAATTTCGCAGTGGCTAGTTTCGGATCTAATTTACACCATCGTTCTTCTACTGTGCCTGCAGGCGGTTTCCGGCCCGGACCACGTCGCTGTTAAGTTCACAGGTGAGAATTCGACTCGAGATTAGGGTTTACGATTAAATTTGGAGATCTTGATGAGTTTTCACATGGCATTGCAGAGTCTAACCTAAATACTTTTCCGCCCTCCGAAGCGAAGGGCAAGATTACATGCGTTTTCAAGCCACCGATCGATGCAGATGGTTTGTAAACCTATCTCGTTCAGATCCGTCGTTTTGTGTTATCGATTTCGTCTTCCGTTTCCGCTGCTTTTGTACATTTTTTCTGTGTTGATAGCTAGGGTTTGATTCGCGACATGGCCATGCGCAGATACGTTCTCGAAACCGGCTGATGGGATTTCCGAGGATACCCAGACTGGGTGGATGCGAAAGTTCATGGTGTCTGCTTACAAGCCCTATTTCGATGTTGATACTTCGGATGTGTTGGATAGGATTAAAGAATCACTTTTCCCATTTAAGGCGAGCTTTACAGAGACGACGGGAAACAATCCGGATTTGTAAGTTAATTGCTAACGTGGGCTGAACTGTTTTTAGCTTGTTCATGCCATTCGAACATCTTATAGCATTAGAGCGTTTCATTCTGCAAATCAGGTTGCAATGTGAGGATTGTACCAAATCTTCACGAATTCCTTGCGATTCATGGAGGATTTATGACCCATTTTAAGAACCCATTATCATAGATTAATCATAATCTAACATCCCGAACTCTTATTCATCCAGACATTGTCCACTTTAGCGTGATGGCCTCATGATTTTGTTCCATTGGGAGGCTACCCATCTTAGGAGTGCTCCCACAAGAGCATGTTTAGTTTTGGATTTTTCGATGAAATTCCGACAATTAAACTAAATGGCACCTCAATGTCCATGAGTTTGGCTTCATTCTACTTAAGGTCTAAGGGATTTTAGAATCTCTCCCATTCAAGTAATTGTTTGGCATATCATTTTGGATAACTTTTATCAACGTTTTCTTGTCTTTCACTTGCTCTCTTTAATCCTTTGACATTATTTTTATATATTTATCTTATGAGTATGTTTTCTACCAATTTGTTGTATCTATTCAAATCATCTCAAATGTATTTTTAGTTGTTTTGTCTTTAGTAGACATCACTCAAACATTCCTCTAATGACCAATTCCTTCCATTTTTGTATGCATTCAACACAAAATTCTGACTTATGCTACTTTTTAACTAGCGAACACTTAATCTCATTTAACATTGTTGTTATTATTGTGGTTTTTTATAATTGATGCATGTCTCTATATATTATCTTATCTTATGGCACTTCTTACACAATTTTTTGTTTTAATCATTTAGTATTAACTCCTAAAGTGCATTCCGGTTGTCTCTATATAATATATCCAAAATACTTAAATTTATCACAACTAGATATGTTTATCTTCTAATAATATTAATTGATAGTTTTTAATATAAATATTTGTCATACTAATTCTTTGTTTTTTATCTCCAAAATTGTTGAACCCAAATCTGTCCTTTGGCTCGTACCCAAGGGATAGAGTGCAGAATTCAAGGGAAGGAGAAATAAAATGAGAGAAATAGAGAAATGGTTTCCCCATGGGCAGGGGCCAAAGATGAGTGTTCCCGGGCTCTTAGGCCCATTTTATTCCACACAACCTGAAAGTTACAAGTGGGATGAAGGGAAGAGCTCTCCTTTACATGGGGATTGAGAGAGAGAGAGAGAGAGCCTAGACACCCCTGATCCTCAATTTATAGAGAGATAAAGAGGGGAAATAATATTACATTTATGCCTCTACGTTTAGGAGAGTTTTGAGGGATATCGTCGTCCTTTCCCTGTTTAGATTTGTCTCTTTGGATTCGTCAGCATCAGGTGACCGACCCAAGCGGTAGGCCCAAGCGATCAACCCTTGTTGGTCGGCCCTCAGTGGTCGGCCTCCAGTGGTCGGCCCTCGGTGGTCAGCCTTTGGTGGTCGGCCCTTGGTGGCTAGTTGTCTGGGTAGGTAAGGTCGACCAGGGTGGCTGGCGTAGGTGCTGGCGACGACTTCGGTGACGAATTTCCTTCAGCTCGGCGATGACCTATTTTTGGGTTATGCATAAAGCCTGCTCGATTTTTTTTTACTTCTTGGAGGCGAAGCTACGATAAGAATGAAAAACTCACAAGTACATAAAATATTATTTCATAAACCTCTAGTTCAACTTAGTTTTATAACAACCCTTTTGTTGGCCTTTGATATGTAGATTTTGAGAATATTATTCTCTTGCACATTCCGGAAGAAAGTTTTTATTCTCTCGTTCTAGAGGAGGTTTTGTTTGCTTGTCCTGGAGGAGAGTCTTTGTTTGCTCATCTTTGAGGGGGCTTTGTTTGCTCGTCCCGGAAGAGAGACTTTGTTCGCTTGTCCTAGTGGAGAGGTTTTGTCTCTCGTTTCGAAGGAGAGGCTTTTTTCGCTCGTCCGGGAGGAGAGGTTTTGTTCGCTCATTCCGGTGGAGAGGTTTTGTTTGCTTGTCCCGGAGAAGAGGCCTTGTTGAGATAGATAGTTTTTTGGATTGTTCATCTCGGAGGAGAGACTAAAATGGGAGGATAGAATATATTTATTTATTTTCTTTTTTTCTCTCTCTTTTTTTATTTCTTTCTTCATTTAAGAAAAGTAAGCATGGTAAAGAAAAGATACTTATCTTTTTATTCCTCCGTGAAGGACCCTCTTCCTCTTGGTAATTGAGAGACTTCTTCCTTTTCCTTTCTTTCTTTTTTTTTTCTTCTTTATATCTTGTCTTTTCCTTTTTGTCACTCGTCATTTTTCTTTATTATTCCTCTTATTTTCTTCTTCTTTTTCTTTTTTTTTTCTTTTTCTGGTTTATGCTTTCTCCAAAACAGATGGCTCATCTTCTTTTTAGTGACACGCTCCACGCTTACTGCACTTTTTAGGGTATTGAACCCAAATCAGTCATTTGGCTCGTGCCCAGGGATAGAGCGCGAAATCCGAGAGAAGGAGAAAGAGAATGAAAGAAACTGAGAAAGAGTTGTCTCGTAGTGGGGGAGGGGCAAAGAGGGTTGTTCCCGGGCTCTACCCCTTTTATTTCACACACCTTGAAAGTTAAGTGGCAAGAAGGAAAGAGTTCTCTTTTACATGGGGGTTGAGAGAGAGAGTCTAGAGACCCCCCTTTTTACATCTTGGGGTCCTTTATTATAGAGAGAGAAAGAGGGGAAAAATATTACATTTATGCCCCTGCTTTAAGGGGAGTTGTAAGGGGTATCGTGGTCCTTTCTTTGCTTAAATCTATCTCTCTGGAGCATTCTCACTGCGGGATTCGTCGGCATCAGTTGGCCGACCCATACGGTCGCCCTCGGTGATCGACCCTCGATGGTCAGCCCTTGGTGACCAGCTGGTTGGGTATGGCCAGTTGGTTGGGATGGCCGACCAAGGTGGCTGGTGTAACTGTTGGCAATGACTTTTCTTCAGCTCGGCAAGGGCTTATTTTTGGGTTATGCAAAAAAAAATATATTTTTTATTATTCTAAATTTACAGGACATTTACAGGAGGATGTACCTTGGTTTATGTTTTTTGTTGATGATATCCTTCTTGTGGATAAGACGAGAGGAAAAACCCAGGAAAAAGTTGAATTATGGAGGTCTACATTGGAGTCTAAAGGCCTTCATAGGCCTTCAGAACTAAAATTGAATACACGGAATGTAATTTTAATAGTGGTAGCTCTAGTGACAAAAGTGTAACTTTGGGTGATCAAATTATTAAAAGGTGTGAATGATTTAGATATCTCGGTTCTGTTGTTTAAAGTGATGGTGATATAGATGGGGATGTTAATAGTAGAATTCAAGTTGGTTGGTTGAAATAGAGGAATGCTTCTGGCCTTTTGTGTGATAAAAAAGTACCGCTTAGACTTGAAGGAAAATTTTATAATATGCTGGTGAGACCTAAGACCTACAATGCTCTATGACGCTAAATGTTGGCCTTTAAAAGCGATGCATAATACTAAGTTAAGTGTTGCTGAGATGAGAATGATTAGGTGAATGAGTGGCTTTACACTTAAAGACAAAATGCGAGATGAATATATCTCTGATAGGGTTGGTGTAGCTCCAGTGACGGACAAAATTAGAGAGAGTCGTCTTAGATGGTTTGTTCACATTAAACGTCAACCATCTGATGATCCGATTAGGAGAGTAGATGTTTTAGATTCGACTTCTGTTAAGAAAGACAGAGGTAGACCTAGGAAGACTTGGGGTTGTTGTTTAAAAAATTATCTTTATTTATTAAAACTAAATGAAAATATGACACTAATTAGGACGCAATGGAGAAAAAGGATTCATGTAGCCGACCTCACATAGAGTGATTAAGGCTTTGTTGTTGTTGTTGTTGTATTATTTTAAATTTGAATTATTCAGTGGATTACTCATTACTAAAAATTATATAATCTATAAAGTGCATGTGCCAAGCACCTCCTATTTGAGAATAATCATTGTACACATTTAAATTATGATGTTTTCATCTCCTATATGAGAATAAACATTGCACACTCATTTAAATTATGATTTTTTCGTCTACTATTGCAAAATGAACATGATATCATTCTATTTAGCATCATTAAAATTAACATCATGCCAGATTTTAAGAAATTTTATGATCATTTGTGTTATAGACCGCCTCGGCACACTACATGTACTTTAATGAGGTTTGCTAGAGGGTTAAACTTCCAATTTCATAAACAGTTAAATCATTAGTTTTCATAAAATATGATTAGAAAGCTTTGTCATCATAACACTATGGACACCTACATCATTTAATATAACAATCACACCTAGAAATAAAAGAAACATAGAATTCTATTATATTGTGGGTAAAGCAATATGCATGATCTTTTATCATTTCTTTGCCATTTCATTATATAACATATGCAAGATAAAGAACTGATCCTATGTCACAAAATTATCACAAGTCATGTATATCAACACATTTATGTTTTGTCATAGCATGCTTAATTTGTCAATCATATCTATAAAATGTTTTTTTGAAGGGTCATGATGTATGCATGAATCATAATTGTGTAATTATTATAGCTAGGGTAGAAATTTGAGTATAAAATGGAATATTATTAATGTTTGCACTTAAATTATTATATTATTTTTTATCACACATTCATGTTTTCTTTCACTCAATATTGTAGCAAGAAATAGCATATAGTCATGTTATGGGGTGTCCGGTCATCCCTTATCATCTGATTTTTATTCATTTTTATCATAATCAAATAGGTTGAATCATAACCATCATCTTGATGCGTACAAGAAAAAGAGTGTCGTGTCATGAGTTATCCATTTTATTTTTAATAACTTCCTAAAATGGGCTAATGCATCAAATCAGTTGTCTGTCGGTTTGTTATCTCTTAACTTCTCTTATACACTAAATAGAGAACTCACCATTACTGCTCACACATAAACATTATTAAAGATGAACTCGTCTACTTGATCTCTCTCAGGGCATCTTAATATAACTCCTGTGGATAAACCCACAACTTTCCTTTCCAAATACATTGTGACATAGCAATGCAATAATCTGTAAGCCACTGGATTTTGCATCTTTATGACATTGATATTATGTTGGATGATTCATAAGATGTGCAATATATAATATTTTTATGTCAAATGGCGCATGCAAGCTACAAATACATCAAGGTGTCATAAATTACATTGTTAACATGGGTAATTTTGATAATACTAAAGAGTTATATGTGCAAATTAAGTAATTTATAAAACTATCAAATTGTACCATCGGTGTCATGTTATGCCCAATAGTACCACTTGATAAAGATCATGTTTTTATTATTTGAAGATTATGATGGGCTCATCACAAATCTTAAAATCATTCAAGGACACTAAATTTATATGCTCCATGGAGAAAGCAAAATTCCATGTAAAAAATCATAATAAGATTGAGTCATGAATAATATATGAATAAGAAAAATGTTATATTTGACAACATATGATACATGTTATGTGTGATCACGATGAGGGTCATGGCATGGACATAAAAAAACACATACAAATCATAACGATCTTGTCATTTATTGGACCCTGAATTCAAATTGCATGCTGGAAGAAATTGAACTTTTTTGTTACGGTATAAGCTTTTCTACCTTGAAAATTTGTTGAATTTCACCAAAAATATCTTCTTTTTTTTCCTCATCTTCTTCTATCTTTTTCCTCACCTTTTCTCTTTTCCTTAGTTCCACATGGTTGGCCGCCTTATAAAAATGAAGACATAATTAAAACTGAAATGAGTTTCTTTTTGTTTTATACAAAAAGCATCTTTATTTATAATTACAATTCTACACTTGAAATTAAAAGCAAGAGGGCATTGAGATAAATTCCACAAATTTTCTTCTTAAAGATTTCATTTGCATCATGCATGTGGAAAATGGGAGGGTAGTTTGCCCATTTAACCAATCAATCATTTTACATCAGTTGCCCCTTTTATCATTTTTCATAAACTCCGAGATTATCATTGTGATTGCTCCAAAGCTAGTAAGCTAAATAAATGATTGTTTTGAATGCCATCCAAATGAAAAAATGAGGGTATAAAAGTAACCATTGTAAATACTTATTTAATCACAAAGGGATTAATTAAGCTTTAAATGAATTAATTTGTGTGGTTTAGCTTAAATGGTAATTTGATACCATGATGGCATAAAGTCATTTTAGATATCTTGCATTATCATCTATGTGCAAAACATAGATAAAATGATATTTTAGATAAAATGTTGTTTTGGCATTTTGGACATAAAATTCTTTAAACCTTAAAAATGATTTTAAAAATGTATTTAAATATTATAAATCACATATATTTTTTAAGGAAGATTTAAATACATACCACTCGATTCTTATATATTTACATATCTGACGCTTAAATTTAGATTTTTACAAACATGCCAACTTACCTATGCATAAGCAATCATTTGAATTACACTAGAAAAATGAAATATATGTATAATAATTCTAAAATCCTTAATATAAAATCCATCACATTATAAATACTAAAAATATTCAATGTTGTATCGTTGATAACTACAGGAGAAATAAAAAAAAAAGACAATGTTTTGTAGTATAAGTGTAATTATACCCTTTTTTGTGGAGAAAGGAGAGCTGGAGAAAGGAGAGGCTTTAAATTCTCTAAAATATCCACAATATATGTTAAAATAAATAGTTGTGTCCTTACTCCCAGATACGGGTTTGAATTTTTTCTATATATTTCCACAATATAAATTTCTACCTTATTCGTCACGTGACAATGCCAACATCAGCCACTGGAACACAGGATGCTTTTCTGTGTGACTAATGCTATACATAAAAAAAAAATTTCATGTGTGGATACATTCTAGATCTTGCATTATACAAACATGTAAAATATTTGGTTAAGGCTATCAATTATGATGTTGCACATGATACATTTATTAACTGTAATTCTCATCATAAAATTTTGAATGTAACATGCTGAACGAGTATTTTTTAAAATTTAAAAATATAGCGGTGAACATTTTAATAAGGAATGCAACTGCCTAATTCCTCTTTGAGCATTAAAGAGGGGTTTGCTTTTCAATGCCAGTATTATCTTATCAGAAAATGTCAAAATAATCCCTGATTCTTTGCAGCGAGTCATCTCAGTCATAAAGTCCATAAAATGCAAATTTAGTTCTCGGATTTCTTTTAATATGGGCTTAAATAATCCCCATGCAGGTTATTTTAGCCCAATAGTAAGTCTAGGGACTAATGTAGAACTTTTATGGACTCTGGGATCTTATGTAAACAGTGAGGGGACTATTTTGAAACTTAAAAGTATATCTTATGGTTTAGGCATTTAATGCACGTTCGAAGATGCTACAACAAATTTAATTTAGATTGATAAGAGCTAAAAAGGAGAGTTGATCGGACTCTAAATTTTAAAACATAGGCCCTTGTGATTTCTCCTATGATGAAAAGTTATTATTCATCTCTGGTTTAGCAAATGAGCTGCGGACCAGTGACTCTTTTCAATAATTAGCCTATAATGTTTATCTAGGACTTGGTTATATCTTTTTATAATCATCTTGGTAATTGAAATGAAGTAATACTGGGCTTGAACTCACTAGAAAATAAAAAAAACAGAATAAGAGCGATCAATATATCGAATAACTCTTTTTAATACTTGCACTATCATATTATGAGCAGTTCGAATGTGCCAGGTGCAGTGTCTGTTGACATTACGTATAATCTCTAAACATTAGTAGCAAATTTTATACCATTGATATGATTTTATTTCTATGAATATGGTTTGGAAAGATCTTTTTAGAACTGTTCTCTTTGCATTTTGTTTGTTCCATAATATTGTTTTAAGAACTGAAGTGTTGAACTTTTATCATCATCATCAATATAAATTTTCTAATGATTGTCATTTTTCATATATATGTGTTGAGTGCCTTTTGAAGTGTTAAATCTATTCGCATGAATCTCTTTGCTTATCTTTTTGTGAAACTACCGTGCCCTGCTCAATTACATCGGTACTTTTGGTGCCTTTAAAATGCACTTTATTTTAAGATATAAAATAGAAAAAAACTGTGTCCTTATATAT